TACAATGGCAGATGTACGAGTGTGGAAGGGCGGGACTTTGAAGAAACTTTAAGATAAAAGACCGAGGGTAATCGGTTTTACCTGATAAGGATATCTGAAAGGAAATATAGATTATATTATATAATTATTAAAATAATTAATAATTAAATGTATTTTAATAACTTTATAAATTATCATTAATAATAACTATTTGGATATAAATCTAGTTTTAAAGATGCTATTATTATTATAATGTCATCTCATAATATACCTCAGAAATGGTGCACATGCACGATTTTGTGATGCGTTACATGAACCGATCATATGTACTGTGACTTTACTTTTCTATGGTATAGCTGTGAACCATTTTTTTTTTTGAGGGGGGTATTAAATACCACCCTTTAAAATCATTAAAATATAAAATTAAAAATTAAATAGGTAATCAATAATAAGTATACATCTTAGGGGGAGGCCCCCTCCCCATAAATACGCCACTGTCCTTTTGCACTGTACCAGAACCGACCTGTGCACTGTTCAATATAATTACTATGGCACTGTGCTTGATCTTACYATTGAACAGACAATGCACTGTTAATTTATTTTAATTTGTACTGTAGCTGAACAAACCATTGCACAGAAAAGGCACCGTTCAAATTKTTGAGTTTACACGGTGTCTGAACTGATCCATGCACAGTTAAAAGTTTTACTTTAGTTCGGTGTTTGAACTATCCTTSCACTCATAACGCACCGTGTTCTCCATGTTAATTTTCGGTATTCAAATAGACCATAAACACCATGCAGTGAAGGAAATATGCACGGTACTCAGCACTTTAAATGGTTCTATAAGCTGAACTCTCCCTGAACCAAAAATGTTACTCGGGCAGGGGTGGCTAACCTTTTTTTGGGTCTAGACAAAATCCAACATTTTTGAAATCAAGGGTTTGAACATTTTTCATAATTTGCTCAAAGTTTGTAAAGGTAGGTAAACACTTAATATATCATAAAAAATATAAGAATATTATGACTTTTAAAATATTTAATTTCTTTGAATTTTTTACGATTAACATTTATGAATAATATAAGTTYTTACAATTTTATCACGAGCCTTTGAAATTTGACAAACATGACACTTTTGGGTTTTGGCACGCGTGCCGTAGTGGGTTCGCCATTTCTGGTATAGCAATTGACGTTAGAGACGATACTACGATAGACTTGTCATGTGTTAAATAATAGTATAATACGTGAAATTTATTTATTAATAAGTACTATAGTTATCTAGTTCTGAGGTACATATACATAGGCAAATAATATACTAAAATATATCTTAGCAGTAATCATATCGATATAACGATAGGAATATAAATATTAAGTAATATTTCTAGTTATGGCAATACTACAATAGTATTTACGTCAATCAAATCGTTCATTATCATTGTATAGTAAAATAATACCTATATAGTTATTATTTTTAATCCAAATACGTTTGCCTTACCTATAACATAAACGTCATCAATCGTCGTATGTTTTTGAAAATGTATGCCTCAAAACAGGACGTAAGATAGGTACTAACAATTTGCTAAAACCAATCAATTAACAATTGCAATCAATGGTAAAATATTTACGCATTTATAATCGGTTAATAGGTACCTACTCAAGTATGATGCTATTGTAAAGTGTGGTAATATAAAATATGTTGAGAAAATGTAAAAATTATTTAAATGGTTTATGAAAGTCGCTATAAAAGTCTTAAATTGTATTTTTTGAGTATAAAAAGAAAATTAATTTATATTATGATATTTTTTTCTATTTGTTAAATTTATGCAAATATCTAGTTAAATCATTACCTACTGCGTAAAAATTGATCAGCCGGCCTCCGTATTGTAGGACAAAAATATTTCAATATTTCAATCAAAATGTACAAAAATAAACTGATTAGAACACAAGAACGATAATTATCGTTCAATAAATCAAGTAACAAATTTTCAGTACCTACCATTCTCCTATGAATGTAATCGCTCTGGTGGAGCATATTCAACATCACCGAAAATTAGTGAATTTTCGGATGACAATTTTAATTAATATAATATTAAACTGTTATACGGAAATAATTTAAAAAATGTTTTGGATTTCTCCTGAGAACGTGAAAATTTACTGTTATGCCTACTGTTAAGCAAGTGCCAAGTATACTTACTGAGGGATGAAACCAAATTTTCGGTTTTTCTGTTTACCTTTTCTTTTTTTCTTATTCGTAAATTATAACCCAGTTACAATGTTATCCAATGAAGATTTGCAGTATATATTAAAAGATTCACTTAATATATATATTTATATATATAATATGAATATAAATATATATTAAATTATTAAAAAGATAAAAATCTATATCACATTCATAGTATTTTCAGTCGTGTGTCTTGTGCAAATGTTAAATTACATATGTCAAAATTCTATAGTAATCTCCGATAAATATTGCAGGTCATCTTATGCCCTGCTGACTATATTATATCATATGATAATATATTCATACCATAATTATATCGTACGATGAAACATCGCTCGTGTAATGACTCTATTACGGTTTTTTGTAGAACACAGAGATGACACTAACGAAGTTGGAAAATAGCTTTGTTTTTAATTAGTATTCATAGATCCTATGGAGTTGGGAGTGTTGATGTAATCAAATAAGCTGCATGCAATGACACAAAACAAAAAATTGGAAACTTTTGTTAACAAGTATGTCATATATTGATGAAGATATGATTTATAACATAATGACAATATAATGACATATAATTAATAAGAGTATATTATATTATAATAATAATAATATCCCCAAGTTATTTTGATTGTTTAATCCATTCTAAAAAAAATCAATCTTTGGGTTGATAAACCATAGATTATAGAATAGATTATTCTATAAACAATGATAAATTTCAACAATAGTATAAATAAATGTATTATTAATAATCCTAAGTTAATCTTTGTATAGTGTACCCATTGAATCATACTTATGTCTTATTTGTAAGTCATACAGCCACTGATTATATATATATAACTGCATATATATATTTCTAAATATAGTTAACTCAATAATTTTTACACTTACACCTACTAGTAGAACAACTTGAACAAAAATGTAAAATTATTTGAAACACAAAATTTAGTCACGGCTATCTATGGTTGAGAACCACTGTGCTTACCTTGCTTGACTACCAACATTTTCAACTCATAAGTCATAACTGTCATTTGTTTGTACTATTATTTTTTAATTGCTTATTATTGGATTTCGGTTAATGAAAAATGAAATGCCCAATACTTTTTTTATGTAATAAAATGATTTACTATGTAAAATTTAACTATAAACTTTAATTTAAAAGGTATGATATTATGATGTAGAAATCTATCGAAGGTTCCAATAGAAATGAAATAGTAATTAGCTATTTAGGAATATTTATAGAGAAATATAAATTTATTGTATAGATAAAATTAATTTTAAATTCTATGACAACCTTAACATTGATTGTAGAACTTTCAGTTTATTAATGTAAAATAATCAATAGTTTTATAAATAATAGAATCGGTTTTTATAAAATCTTTCTAAAAACCATGCTTAACTTGGTAGAGGTGTCATGTTAAAATATTAAATGAGGAGTGTCTGGTATTTTTGGCCAACAAAATAAAGAAATATTATTTTTAATCCTGAAAAATTAGTACTTATATTAAAATAATTGGTTATATAATTTATATATTATTATGTATTGAACATGTGAGACCTTAAAAACCAACCCTAAAGTTCAACCCTTTTCATACTAGCTAATTGTTAATTTATAACAAAATAATTAATTTTTGTAGTTTAAGGTGCATTATGCTTTTAGACAAATAAGAAATTAATAATAATTAACAAACTAAGGATTAATAATTTTTACATTTTTTTAATTCACTTGTGTATGAAATGTATTGGGAATGATCAATTATTTCAAGTAACATACAATTTAAAAATAACCAAGGTAAAAATAATTTAAGTCAAAATGACCAATGACAAATGACAAATGACACCTCTCCTGGGGTAAAATTAAACTACATTAAATAAAAATGTTCATATAACTTTTGAATACTAATGCTTAACAGACATTTTTTTCACTTATAAATAGTAAATGTATGAGTATATGACCAAAATATTTAAACTGTTAAACATGAAGTGTTATGTGAAGATTTTCTAATATTATGTATAATGAAACCAAAAACATAATTCTGTTGCGGAGTATTTTCTATTTTTTATTTTTATTTTTTTCGATTTACTTTATWAGAGTCAAAATAAGGCCAACTACTTAAAATAAAATAATTAACATACACGATACATTTATTTAACAAATTTAAATGTCAAAGAAAATTTGTTTAATAAAACATAAATATAAATACAATTACTAATAGACTATGTACTGATGATATTATTTAATACTTAATATTACAATCAGAAGTTTTCAGTTAGATTTACTATAAAGACAATTTGTACTTACGTTAAATACCTCACATTTTGTATTCAAATGATACTTTGCATTTCAGTAGTATTTTGAATATAACTGAAAAAATGAACATAAACTTTATGAAAATAAGATTTGTAATAACACTAGCAAACACTTATTTTGTACAACACAATTATAAATATAAAATTAATATTACATATTTTAAGTTCTTGAAATCAGTAACTATAATTAGTAATTATTTTTCAAAATTATTCCAATAGTTAAATCTATGAATGAAAACTTTAAAGGTCCATCTTATATTTTTACCAAACCTTTGAGTAAATAAATTTTATTTTCTGATTAAGTAAATTTATTTACCTAAACAAAACCTCATAAACATAAGATATTAATGTACATAAGCAATGTATATATTTAGGAATATCAAATATTATTTATAGGTAACTTATAATATTATATTATGTGTTCAAAATAGGCACCTACTAAATAATTGAATTGTCAAAATATTTTGCACTATTTCTGGACTTCATATCAGTGATCAAAATAATGTATTAAAAAACAAATTTATATAAAATATGTGAAACGAGTAAAGGTATGTAATATATTCTGTATAGCAATTAATAATTTGAAAGTAATAAATAGTTTATTATACTGGACTTGATTTATATTTAAATAAATAATTAAATGTTATTATTTTGAAAAATGATTTAATTAAATTTAGTATTGAGTGAAGAAATTCTATAAYAAATAGATGATTTAAGTTTGTATTGTTAACCTCTATAATTTAAAATTGATAAATAAATATTTATTAAATTTTTTATTACTTAAAAAGCAAATTGATGATATTATTCATACCTACATACCCATAGATCATGGGGCCATAGTAGGGTTTGGATTTTGAGGGAAAATAAATAATATGAAGGACATTTAAAATTAGCAGTCATATGTAAAAATGTATAAGTAAAATTAAACAATAAAAATATGTATTATGTTTCTATCAATTAACTATTGACTAAATTCTATCAATACAATATAGTAACAGTGCTCAATCATGGAATTGCAAATAATTTTAAATGAATCGCCGAAAAATCAGTTATAAAAATGTTATAAATATAATTATTAGTAACATGAGTAAAAAATAAAATAAATAGATGAAGATTAAAAGTATTTTTAAGTTATGAGAAATGAAAAAATTACGGTGGTAATTAAATAATATTTTCGAAAATGTCACATGAAAAATTGGGTAAAATGTTGTGCCACCAACACAGAAAGGTCGACGACCAGTTCAATACAACATAATTTACCTATTAAAATCAGATTTTAATAGTAAGTTACATAATAATATAGATATGACGATAAACCTCAATAAACTAATCCTGAAAAGTACTAATAATACTGATATCAACATTTATTATATATGTGATGTATTTTAATCATATTACTTTAAACATAACATAAATTCTTTTTAATTTGTACATTAATTAAATATAAAATTAACTTTTATAATTTAATACAAAATATTATAAAAATAAAAAAGCAACAATACAAAATTWAATTTATTCCATTTCTATAGAATTTGAAAAATACATTTTTATATGAGAAAGAATTATGTCTATATATTTTTTTAATAGCTAAACCTTATTCCTTAGTTACAAAATATATTTTATATTATCATTACATTCTATTGAACCATATATACATAGTAAAAAGTTCAAAGAATAGATTAAATTCATGAATTTAAAATTATAGATATAATCCTTACAGTATTTTTATTTGTCAAACATTGAAAATTTGAATATATCGACTTAGATAATTACCCATTTTCATTAGATCCTGAAGGAATTAGAAGCTCATTAAATGTTTGACATCTAAGATCCAATGAGTCTTCAGTATTATGAAGTGTAGACCGTTTCTACAAAATTAAATAATTAAATAATGTTATTCAATATACATAAATATTTATTTTGAATAATAAGCCCTACAAATTTCATCATAATTCCCACTAACTTTTTGACGTCTGTGTTTTTGTAATTTATTGAACTTATTGATTTCAGATAGTTTTGTTAAACCTATCTTTTTGTAATATTTTAATTCATTTAAACGCAGTCTCAGCAGTTTTTCATTCTTTACTCCTTCAATTAGAGCTCTGTGAGTGTCAATAGTCATAAATCTTGACATTTTCACTAAACGCTCCACAAACGTTTGTTCAGAACTAAAAATGTAAAAAAAAATTATACAAGTGTATATATTTTCAATTACAACTTGACACAATGCAACTTTTAAAAGTTACTAAGCCCAATTGACCAAATAATGGCCTCAAACTTATATAATATAATACACTTTTATATATGAAGACTAGTTTTTTCAAGTAAAGTTCTAACTATTATTAATAATTTGGTGCCAATAGCCACTAGGCAAGCATAAACAATAATTACACATATTATTATTTTATTTATAAATAGGTAATATTTTAAAAATGAGATATTCAAAGTACAGTTAAACTTAATTTTAATAATTATTTAGTAAAGTAAAATCATATTCTATTAATATCACACCCATAACAATTTTGTGGTAAGAACGATTACTAATACCTGAATAAATGAAAAATGTAGAAAAACATGTTTTACATTTTTGATATACTTTATAAAGTATACTCACAATTGTTTTATTTTTGGCAATTCTTTGTTTTTATACATTGCAAAATGTTCAATTAATCTATAATTGTGGACACATTTTTTAGCCATTCTTCTATCCCATAATATATCATTGTAACGTTCTAAAGCAATTAATGCTTTTACTGTAAAATAATTAACTACATCAGTAACATTAATGGAATTATAAAATGTTTTATAAACAAATATATTACCTTTTTTAATGTTGAACACTGTACTCGTACACGGGTCTTTTGATTTCTAGAAAATTATATTAAGTAAATATAAATTATAGTTATTCAAAAACAAATAATTTAACAACCATATCATATATTCTCATTTATATTGCTTTATTAGTATATGATAATATTGATAATATAACTATGTAAAAAAATGTACTTAAAAAATACTTTTTTTTCAAGTAGAGTATAATATTAAAAATATTGATCTATAATTTATAACATCATGGTATATCTTACAATGGTATCTTTAGTATCCATCATATCTTTTGTAGTGCCATTACATTTTTCTAAAGAATGTTTTGAATGAAAGTAGTCTAAATTAGTTTCAAAATCATCCACATTGTCCAAGGAAGATTCGGCTATATTCATGTAAGGCTAATCAAAATAATAAGCTTAATGTAGTCAATATCAATAATAATAATATAATTTGTTCATACATATTCAAATTCATCAGCAATGCTATTATAACTAGTATCAGCAAATAAAATATAATCCACTATAGGATACTTCATTTCAACAGGTTGCTTAAAAAACCACGTACGATCTAAAATAATTGGCTTATTTGATGGTGGCTTCCAAGTTCCTCGCCTAATTGGATCATCAAAGAATCGAAGTAAATATTCTTTTTTTATTTCTGTTAGATAAACATAAATAAATATATAAATGCAATTAGTTTTATCTAMTGTATAATAACCAAAAAATAAGTTTAAACTATAATGTATTCATATGATACCAAACATATTAAAAAATATGAACTTGTCATACACACAGAATATATTTGAAAATTATTAACAAAAATACAGTACAAACCTTCAGGAGTTCTTATTATAAAATAATTAACTTTTCCAAAATGTTCATAAAAATTAGTTTTATTGAATTCTTCTGAAATTTTTTCCCAATTACCATAACCATATATAGCTGTGTAATCTAATAATAACATTAAATCTGATTTATTCCACGTATTCTTTTCATTTACTACTATTCCTTCTCCTGTGTCTGTTATTATCTAAAAAATAAATTATTAGTTAATGCTACACATAATTAAAAATCATAATTTTAAACAATTACAAAAAAAATAAGTAGATAACTATCAGTATCAATATGAAGATTTAAAGCATAGATCAGCAATCTTTTTGATGTCATGGGCCAAAATATTATATAACATTTTTCAAAGGCCACAGTTTGAGTATTTTAAACAAAATTGTATTTATTGCCATTCTAGTCATACCAAATTTAGTTTATTCAAGTTCATAAATCTTAACTATTAGGTTTATTAGTTTAATAAGGTTCTACAACAACATTCTAGTCCATACAATCTTAATTTGTGATTTCTATACATATTATTAATTTTACTCACRGACCACATAAAATCTAAAATCTTCAATATAAGATCATGGATTCTAAATTTATTGTAAATGTTTTATTAACATTATAAAGAATATAATCATGTACATCAGCCTCCTATATTCAAATACGACTGTTGATATGTATTATGTACACATAGAGTTGAGACTAAATTATATTTATAATCATAGATATTCCACATTATAAAATTTCTTTTATAGTTATAAAATAGTCATTTTAATATATTATTATACTTAAAACATAAAAATGTACAATTTTACTCAAAAAAGTTATGACTACCGTTACGGTAGTAGAGTATAACCTTACCTAAAATCAAAAATTAACCAATATTTTGGATTTAAATATAAATCATATTATATTTTATATGCTTATGAGGAGGACATGATGTGTTGTCATACATATGTAAGACATAACACATTTCCATTTAGTTGAACTAATTATAATATAATATAGATCATCCGTGATTTGTTAAAAAATTTAAATTTTCAAGCGAATTATGAGTATTAATAAATATTAATAAAAAATTGAATATTAAAAAATAAAAATACTAGAAATCTTGATTATGAATTTTAATATCATAAAAATTTGTACATCTGCAGAAAAAAAAGTGCGTCTTGCAAGTATATGTAGATGAAGTGAAACTTCTTTCAGAAAAAAATGCAAAAACCCTAGATCCCCGAGCCCCGACTAGAATTAAACCCCCAACATTGTAATAGATAACTCATATTACTGACCATCACTATTTTGCATCAAATGACAAAATCTTTTTCTTTTGCATACCCTCTATATTCTACAATAAAGTTTTTTCATTTCAAAAATGTTTACTTTTTACTTACACTTGAAGTTTGATTAGAAGTTTTGAAACATCCCATTTCAACAGCATCTTCATATGTAATTAAAGGTTCAACGTGGGCATATGTTTCATAAAGTTGCCAAATTCTTCGATTTAAAATTAAATTTTCAAATTCTGTTTTTGTTTCTATATAGATAAAATTATTTAAACATTAAGTATAAATTATATTATAACTTTAAACTAACATGATAAATTGATGCAAAAAATAAAAATTCTCATATAATAGATATATTTATGATTATATTGATAAAATATTAAAATCCATTAACCACTATTCTATATTCACTATTGCTATCTGTGGAAATTTTTTTTTATTTCACATTTTTTAATGTTACACATTAAGTAACACTCCTTCCAAGATTCAAAACAATTTTGCAAATTTTATAATTCAAAAAGTTGTTACTATAGTGATGTACAATTGGAAATCCATGATAAACAATAACTTATTAACAACATTTAAAAACATGATTTAAAGTTGTATTAAAATAACGATTATGGTTATTTTTGTTAATTCATTATTCTAAAGTTAACTGAAATAATTTTAAAGAAGTGGTCTGTTACTTCATATCAGGCATACTGGTTGTACTTACACACTCCCATAAGCAAGTTAGATATTTATTCTTATCAAAAAGCTTCGCGGGCTAAATGTTTGATGAAGTTTCTTCAGTGGGAAAGTTCTTTATTGTATGAAACATGCATTTTTTTCATATTTATAATTTGTTCATTACGTAACAGATTGTGAAATAAGAATTCAGGTTAAAAAAATATTAACTTTCAATTAATTTCTTAAATAGCTATAGAATTATAATAATTGGTTTAAAGATAAAAAAGTATATTATCAGCAAATTAACCAGCACATTTTTTAGGTAGACACATATTATAAGTTTGCAACCTCTGAATTTAACATTAAAATATCTATGTTAAAGTAAGTTACTTTTAACATTTTAGTTCATAATAAATATTACACTGCAATGATAAAAATACAACTTAGCATACCATTAGCATTTTTTGATCTAATATGCTGAGCAACAGAATCCCAATCTGTAATACAATTTCCAGAATTGAATGGATCTATATATTTATCAGAGTGTTCACATAACCATTCTTCTAGAGCACATAAAAAAGCTAACTCTTCTATAGCAGTCCAATTGGACTCTTGAAAATAAACATCACTAGAATAAGTCTGAAAAATAAATAAATATTATTAAGAAAACAAATAAAATAAAATAAAATACACACTTTCACTTCAGTTATCAAAGTATATCCATGACTATTTTTATGTTTTCCAATTTCAGCTCCACTTGAAAAACACTGCAAGCATGTAGAATTATATTGTTTTAATATATATATGGAAAAAAAATGGTATAATGCAAATTATATAAATGCACAACTAACCACTAGACATAAATAAAAATTTTCACAAGTCTGCTTATTTGAGCAACAGGTATATACAGTAATTAATTTGTAATTCGAAAATTTATGACCGTCTGTTCGATAACCAATAACTTCAAATTCATCTTGACAGTAAGTACAAACTAAACACTTGTCTAGAACAAAAATAATTTCATACATAAATAAATTTAATTTTGATATTATCAAATATTACTATAATATAGTATAATATAATATAATATAATATTATATTATACAGTAATCACTCGATAATTCGAAAAACTCTATAAATTGAACTAAACGCTAAGTCCACTGAAAAAACCTCTATAATTAGAAAAAAATACATGTATTCCGGTCCCCTCGATAATTCGAAATGTCTGTTGGGGCACACTCTACAATTCAAATTTTTTTCAATGAAACTCTATAATTTGAATTTCATTAAACACAATTATATGTAAGTTCATATGTATAAAAATTATGTACAATCTATGTAAGGTACTCGTAATAAAAGCTAGTAACGACAATGGTTAAATATTATCGTAGTTTATAAATGTTATCGTATCTTACCTATCCAATCTAAACTTTAATTGTATCATTTTACCAAAATAAACCTCTGCAATGAGTTCCTGTCATATCGTTAAAAGAAGCAACATTTTTTATGTCAGTATTACGTAAATTTTTTGAGCAATCTGATATGGATGAAAAAATCTACGATACGATTTTCAATGCTATCTTGCTATCTACTGTTAGACAACGGACCAGATTGTGGCCAACAATTTTTCACAAAAAAAAAATAACATATTTCTTTAATAATATGTAAAATATAATAATATTAAAAATATATGTAAAATAGTAAAATATAATAATATGTAAGTATAATAAATAAATATCAATTAATAATTTTAAAATATAATAATATTTATAATAAGTAAATGTCAAAATAAACGTAATATATATGTATATTATATATATATACAATTTTCCACCTCTCTTTAATTCAAATTAATTTTTCTTCCCTGAATTATTCGAACACTTGGTAAATTGAAAACCTCTATAAATCGAATTTTTAACTCGGTCCCTGAATTTCGAATTATTGAGTAACTACTGTAAGAATAATAAATTATGATATTTTTATGTTCAACAAATAAAAGAAATATAACAGGTTTATAAGAAGTTTAAATTTTTAGTATTGACATGTATATACAGCATATTTAATTACATCTTTTGACACTAGTGGGCGGTAGTTTACAATTTTCATGTTTTACCTGCAATTAATTGATTTGTGCTAGATGAAAAACTAAATTATAGAACATTTTCTCCATAATTTCTTAAGCACTAACTAATTTAAATGTTAAATGAATAAATATCTTACACCTTTTTAAAATAAAAATTTAACTATGAACTATAATATCTTAGAGAAATTTGGCATATAATATTCATGTTGTTTCTATATTAAGCCAATAATTTTCAAAAATTATACTAGGTATACTAATATAAGTCTTAAGTCAATAGATCAGTGATTAAAGTTTAAATGTCTTCAAATTTAATATTTCTCAAAAAAAAAATCTTTTTTTAGATTAAGAACAAATAAAAGATTATAATTTAATATAACAGAAATTTGTGTCTCAAAATATTTTTACTAACTGTTAGACTCTGATGATTCATCTTCTACAAGTTTTTGTTCATCAATTATACAGTTGTAATCATCTACATCATCTAGTGGAGGTGGATAAAAAAAAATATCTAAATCTTCAATAGATAGTTGCTGAAAACAAAACAATAATAAAGTAGAGATTAGGTTAGATATTTATTAAAGATAATCATAAATATGTTCCTTAAACATAAAATTTCAACTTAAAAAAATACTGATTACTTCTTTTAAAACATGTTCATATTCACATCTAGGTCCTTCAATACGTTTTGTTCGATCAGGTATTTGAGGTCTTGTATTTGAGGATGGTAACCAAGTTCCACGTAAAATAGGATTTTGAATAAAACGGAGCACATATTCTTCCTTGATTTCTATTAATAAATACTCATAAATATTTATTTCAATAAATTGGCTTAATATTTGTAAAATTAATACTAGGCAATTTTATCAAAAATACTCTTAATATTGAAGTTGATTAATAATGTTTATAAGTTATAGCCATAAGAGAACTAAAAAATGAAAATTAACAGTAGTCACATAGATATATGATAATTGATAGCCATATTAAAATAGAAGCAATTAATTAAACTTATTTATTCATATAACAAATCCACTGTCTTCCCATGAGAGGAAGTGGTGCAACTTGGATATTGAAAAGGTAAGTCTAGAGGCCTTAATATTAATACCTACCTAACTTATAGCCAATTCGGAACAAGTTTTTTTTAATGTTTTTTGCTTTTAAACTAGGCTCATACCTGAGGGACAATCAATCTCTTTCCCCCCAACATGAGCCGAATGTAATTAATCCTAATTAATTTTTAAAATAAAAATTGATCTTATACTTTAATATGCCCCCTTCTCTCATATTAAATTTAATTGGATAAATAAAAAAACAATACACACATGGAATATAATATTACATAATGAGAAGTGATAATGTATTAAAAATGTTTATCATACAAAATTATTATACTTTATTTGTATCCTAGTATCCGTTATTAAGGTCTCATAAACATAGTTTTAGATTACATAACAATCATAAGATATCAACCAAATTGTAGGTAGTAATAGTAAAAATGTAAAATACAAAATATTTAAATACGTTCAATGGCGGATCGATTGCTTTTTTTTGGAGAAAGAGGAGTTAAAAGCACATAACACATCCACAACTACACTACAGTGGAAAACACAAGCTTAGAAATAGGGCAACTAACAAACTNGGGGTTGTGAGATCAGACTCTGAACACATTTTAAGTGTAGAGTATAGAGTTTAATAAAGGGACCTTTATCAAGAGGCCTTTTGAAACCCAGATGCCTCAATATTTTRGCATTGTCATCATCCCCCGTTGTTGCACCACTTAATGATGCACTTAATGATAGGTATAACATAATTTAAATTTAACATTGAAATAATAATATGTCAAATAAGTTAAATAAAATAGAATTACTCATTGCTGATAAATATGTGCGTTTTCCTCTTGGATATTCCATGTGTATAATTGTATTATATTGCTTACACATATCTTCCCAATTTCCATAGCCAAATTCTCCAGCACATTGCAATAACAATTGTACTTGGTAACTATCTAATATATTCTTATTTTGCATTGACAGATCCTAAATAAAAAAAAAAATAAAAATAATAATTCAATGCATAGCAAAACGTGTTAATTAGGATACCAACTATAGTAACAAGAACTAACTTACTAATAGCACATTAGCATAAAATGTCCACACTATAAAATTAGATTTTAGCTCTAAATGTAATATTTTTTTTTTATTATTTAGTTTTTTATTACTTCATGGCGTATTTATACATAATTTGCCATGTTAATATTTAGGTACACAAAAACTCACACAATACATTATTTAAACAAATTCTTATTAATTGACTATTTCTATCAAGTCAGATTTAACATAAAACAAAAATATTTTAAAGATTATTTAATTATTTGATGGACTTTGTACAGGAATAGCATTAATTCAACTTTTACTCAAGATATTTTGGGATTGATATATTTTTTGAATATGATAACATGGTACTTGAAGATTATAATATACAAAGTTTTAAAAGTAACACTTCATTGATATCATACATAGGGTCCACGGGGGGTACAGGGTATGCAGCTGCACCCTCTGCAATTTCAAGTGGCACCATGAATTATTAAGAAAAATTATTCAAAAAAGGGGTCTAGGGCCCATTAGCCCCTTGGGTACGCACCAGGTTGCACCCTCTGCGTCAAAGGTCTAGACATGCCTATGATATCATATAATTATTTAAAACTATAAACCTAAAAATTACAAATTCAAAAAATGTTATAGGAATTTTCCTCAATCTAATCAGAACTATCATAAGTTTTAATAAAAACTATTTATAAAATACTTATCTTTAAACAGAATAGAGGTAAGTAGTAAGTAGTAAATGATAATTACATTTCAAATTGAATAATATAGTTGTGTTATTAAAAAGGTACTATGTTTCATCATAATTCATCAACAAACATAATTTAGGAATTAGAACAATAAAAAATCAATCAACATTTACCTAATGCCTTAATGCACAATAAATATTATTTAAATTAAATTAAAATTTTCCTGTTGAATTTTGAACACMATGTTTCATATGATGTTGTATTAGTATTAAAATGAAATAAATAAATAATATGAGTCATTACATACAAAATATTAAATTATTTTAAGTATAATAGTTACCTGATTATTATAAAGATTATGTCTAATATTTTCCTCTAAAATTTCATAATCTTCTACATTTTCTCTATCTGCTGGAATTTTTAGGTACTGCAAAAAAATTAAAAATAAATTATAAGACCTGGGGGTTCACAACTAAAGGTAATGATATAAAAATTGAAAACAAAAAGATTGTATAAAAAATAATTAAAATGTACATAATCATATAAACACATTGTATAATTATTAGTAGGAAATGGATTTTATTGTAATAAAAATATCAAGTACATATATCTTTAATTATTTTTACCAAAATATATATATAAAAAAGCGGGTAAGTGGATGTCGCTCTGCTGTACATTAGGTGGTGGGGTGGACCTCTGACAAGGGTAGGTCAGATTTGAATGCAATGATAGGTATCATTGTGTACGAAAAACGATTTTGAACGGAGATGATTTGTTATTCTAGGATATATTATATTTAAATATTGTCATACATTCTATTTTGAAACAAATATTTTATTTTTCAATTAGGACGCATTTTGCAAAAGGCATGGTTAATCAATTTTTCCAAAAATATTGCATGTAGTTATCATAATTCATAATATTATCATAGATATGCATATACCTGGTGGTTTGAGGATAAATCGTCATCGTTACGAGATTTCATAAAAATTTAAAACTCAAACACTCAAAAAATGTTTAATATAATGACGCTTCAAATTTTCTCTATAGCTATTTGAAGCAAAACTTATGAAAAACTTAGTGTTGAATTTTTTAACCTTAGATATAAATACAAACAATTTTATGAATTTTGAACTACAAAATAATTTGCAAATATTCATGGTTTTGACGAATTTTTGTCAATATTTGAACTTCAAATGCTAATAAAAAAAATTGTGCATATGTATTCCTATAATTTTTTAATCACTATAAGAATAACTTAT